TTGTGTGTGAATTCAATTGTAATTTATTTATTTTTTTTATATTTATTTAAAAAAATCATTAATACTTTCGAGTCTCATAATTGATTAATTCACATTTATTATAACAAATAAATTTAAAAAAAAACTTAATTTCTTTGTAAATTAAATAAAACACTTTGCGAAGAAATGATTCAAGGAAAAGCGTTTCTTTATTTAAACTTTGTTCATGAATTATATTTCGGCAACATTTGTTATTACCAATAGAATGAACTAATTGGTATTTTTTTAATCAAATCATGTTGAAATCAAAAAATCTTAATTTGCAAAATTTTCATTTCTATGTGAATTCAATTGTATTTGTTTTACATATAATTAAAAAATCATGTTTCATAATTGCTTAATTCATATTTATTATATCAAATAAAGTTTAAAAGAAAACATCTTTATTTGTATGTAAATGCAATTATAATTACTTTTTCTATTTACAAAATACAAATAAATTGAATTTGAGGATTTGGTGGAAGAGAGAGGAATTATCGTAGAAAATTGTCTTCAAAATTGAAGTTGCTACAGTTTGGAACGATTCTTCTTCGGTTTTCTTGCGATCCCAGTTTTTCAGTATTTCTTTTGGGTGTATTTTTTTTTTGGTCGTCCTTAATTACATCAGTTGTGCGATCGGATTTATCGCTCGCATTTGACAAATATTGGCCCGTAAGCGGAGCAGACCAGCAACGAAACGAAGGATTTTCGGTGGTCCTCGAGTGGAATCCTAAGTGGTCGCAGACAAGAGGTCGCGTTCCAAAGACGTCTACATACACACACGCACATATACTCTTTTTTTTGTTCTTTCTTTCATTTTTACTCTCTTTCTTTTTTTTGGTTCGCCACTTATTGTTAATATTTTACGCACTTGTTACGTCGCTTATCTAAGACCCTCTTGAATGTCTCGTGTGTGTGTGTATGTCTCCAATTTACAATCCGTCCGATCCCAAGAAAGAGGTGATAACGATAACGAAGAACTGCACACGTTTGTGTTTTCCTTTTTAATTTTACTACAAAAAAAAATAGTATATATATATATATATGACAATAATCTCCACACATGCATTTTGTTTACGTTACTTATAGTAATCACCGAGAAAAAACAAACAATCATATATTATTTCATCTTAGAATGCTCGCAATTCGATGATTGCCACTCTCGCAATACTTGATACTTTTATTAAGCAATGTACTTTGATATATATAAAAGACCGTCTATTGAAATCCCGACTACCATAATCCCGACAATCAAAATCCCGACTATATCGAAATCTCAACTACCATACAAATGTTATTGTAGAAATTTATAATAATAAAAGACACTTTCGATATAGTCGTGATTTCGATATAGTCGGGATTTCGATATAGTCGTGATTTCGATATAGTCGGGTTTTTACATAGTCGTGATTTCGATATAGTCAGGATTTTGATTGTCGGGATTTTACTAGTTGGGATTTTGACATAGTCGTGATTTCGATATAGTCGGGATTTTGATTGTTGGGATTATATTAGTTGGTATTTTGACATAGTCGGGATTTCGATATAGTCGGGATTTTGAACGTCGAGATTGCCACCGATATAAAAAATATATTACAATTGAAGATTATACAAAATAGTATTAAGCATAGTTTAGGATAAAAGTATATTGTAATGCAAAAATCTAGTCTATTTTTGACTTGAAAGTTGTAAAAATAGTTTACAATAATCTAAAATTATTACTGAAATGAAACTTGCAGAAATGAATTCATTTCTTTTTTTGTAACAATAACTAAGAATTAGGATAATGTAAACATAATGCTTCGAAGATATTTGTGAATCTGGAGTATTTTTTTTACGAATGTCTTTTCAATTTCAAACTTTGCCAAATTCATATTGATTTTAGATTTTAAATTCTCCTTTAGTTGAATTAATTCTTCTTGCAAGGAGAAATCAATACCGACTGTGTCGATTTCAAATCTTTTTTTTGATAATCCAAGGCATCTAAATTTTCTAAATCTTTGTAACGAACATTGATTGAATTTTACAGCAAAATCAAAATCAAATTCACATTTCAAAATCACATTTTTACTAATAAGTTTGTTTACAAAAAAACATAAGCCTATGTTACCATAGGTTAATTAATTGTCAAAAGCAATTCTACTAGAGAATTGAAGATTTTAATGAAACGTTGCAAACAATTGCCTTTCGACAAACAAGTAACTTCTGTATTCAAAAGCAAATTATTATAGATTTCATCATTATTTTAGCACAATTGCACAAAACAATAATATATTTATATATTTAGTTATCGAAATCCCGATAACTAAAATCCGACAATAAAATCCCCGACATTTGAAATCCCGACAATATCTTTTCTTATTTGATATAGACTTAAAACAAATGAATTTAAAAAATGAACTTATTACGTAAATTAATTACTACGTGAATACAAAAAAGGACATCGATATTCTATTGTTTAGAGTAAAACCTGTGTTTTATCTCAAACTAATGTTCTTTTGATACTGTTAGGATTTTGATAATGTTGTTTTTTTAGTGTCAGGATTTTAACATTGTCGGTATTATAGTTGTCGAGATTTTAAATGTCGGGAATGTTATTGTCTGGATTTTGATATATATATATATAAAAACTACTATTATATTTACTTATATTTTATTTTCGACCCATAAAATTCTTATAGACCTTTCAAAATTCCACCTGGAATTGAAAAGTTGTAAAGAAAAACAGTTTTTCTTCACTTAATTTTTGGATTACGTTAGTTTTGTGAGTCATTCGCATTGGTAGAGATAAGATTGATAATAGTGAGCTGCACGAGTGTCGATGAATTAATAAATCTGATCGAGAGGAAGTGGCGAACCTCGCGGTTAGGTAATTCATATCTGACTAAACTAATTTGGAACGTTGATGATGCATTTTCGTTTTGTGTCCTTTTCATATCCATAAAAAAAGTATGTTAATTAGATTTGTTATAAGATTTCCAAATTACTTTAAATTTGTTAATGGAGTCATTAATTCTAAATTCAATTGAATTGTCTTTCGACGATGAAAACTGTTGGTAGCAACCAATATAAATTGAAGTTAGATATATTTTTAACATTAGGTAATGTTTAATAATGAAAAAAGAAGGTAAGATGATTTTAAAGAAGTGAATTTGGGCTGGAAATCTTTAACTGTTTAGATAAATTGATCAAATCGTCTTATGTAATTTAATTCAATTAGCGTTTTATCAAATGAACAGTTTCAATAAAATCTAGAATAATGACAAATCAAAGTTTCTAACTATTAGACGTAATCGTTTGACTGTACACGTAATATTATAATATATAGAGATAAGCGTTTAATTTTTTGTTTCGTTTGTTATTTCTGTTGGTGTGTGGAATCCCAGTCAGCTCTGATTTCTTTCTCGAATGGCGACATGCCGTCTGGCTTGTATTATTAACAAAGAATTATCGCGAAAACCGCAGAGTATTAGTAATAGTAACTTCCTGTAACGTAATTTATTTCTCATTTATTTATATTTTTTTTTTCAAAAATGTTATTAATAACCACCGATCGTGCACCGCAATCGTTTCCATTTCTGCGGTGATTTCAAATTGTCTTATGGTTGTTGGTCAGGTTTAAAAGAAACTTCTTAATTTATGTAGATTCTGATGCTGTATTAAATAGGTAAATCTAAGATTATTGTCAAAGTTAATTAATTTGATGCTTTAAAACGTTGACTGCCAACTACGAGATATCTCGTAGGTTGATTACTTGGCATACTACAAGTTATCTCGTCCCTTCATTACTTGCCATATACATAAGAAATAAAAAATCAGGTTTGGCTTAACTGAACAGAAAATACCATTATACAAAGTTTATTCAAATAGAAAAAGTTTATACAATGCAATAAATTTTTATTTTTTCTGCAAATTGGCTCTTTAGACCGAATTCTGTGGCAGTGAATGTGTTAAGCTAAGGTTTTTGATACTAGATGTAACGTATATACATGAATTAATTATTTTAATCATTTAATTAAAAAAACAAAAAACAATTTGACACAAAATCGTGCCATAAAACTTAAATATTGTTGAATAGTTTAATGAAAAAAAAAACATAAAATTTAGGGAGGAATTAAGTCTTATTTTTAATTGCCAAACGAGATAGAATAGAGGTCATAATAGACAAATCAATTCATAAAATATCTTCAAAAATCTAAAGAAGTGAATTCGTCCTGACGTAAAATTTAGATTCATTATTTAATGCCCTAAATACATTAAGAAATAAAATAATATTTGAGAGTAATTTGTTATTATTCGTTTTTCTATATAGTTTTCTAAATAAAATATTTGTTATAGTTTTATGTAATATAGAATTTTTTAAGTATTGTTTTGTTAATAAAAAATAAATAAGTTCTCTCTATTTTTTGTGAAAATTTATAAACCGGTTTTGTAAAAAAAAGTTTAATTATTCTAAAAATGATATTAAAAAAAACAATATCAAAAACATTATTTTGATTTAATGTAATTAAATAATAGATTGAAAGTTATTTATTTGTCTTATATAATGTAAAATTATCTAAAGTAAGAGATAAAATCTATTTATTCTTAAATGTGTTATGTTCAGTCTTGTGGTGTTTGTTAATAAAAAAGGTTAATTAATTACTAATCTTGTAAAATATGAATTGTAATCAAATTTAATGAAGGAGAAAAAAATACTTACTGGATGAATTTAATTATAATAAAGAGAATGTTTCATTTTATGAGACTTATAAAAAAAGATGGTACTGGAAATATGGAAGGAGTACAATAAATAAATACAAAATTGTTATAAATGTTTCTTTTTTTTTTGTTCAATAATATTTTAGATAAAATTTTAATTAAAAACTAAAAATCTTAGGAATTAAAACACATTTTTTCAACTTCCTTTAAACCGAACGAAAAGTATGTAGAACGTATTTACAAATCATTAAATATAGAAAACACATCTTGTCGTGGATCCCTCTTATTGCATTTATGGTTTCGTTCCGTTGACTTGGTAGAAAATCTTAATGTTAATAAATATGCGTGTGTATGTACAAGAAAAAGAAATGAGTTTAGCTGCTATGTAACTCAAATGGTGTACTTGACTTGATCGTAGTAGGTGTTGGCCGTGTTGGCGGCCGGCGGCGATGGGAGAGACGTCGGAATCGAAGGAGGCGGCGTGAGGTAGGGTTTCCTGTCGCACTGCTGGATGGAGGAGTTCGAGACAGAACTTCGAATTACTGTTGAATAGAATAATAAAAGAACAATAGTATTTTGTTGTTGTTGTTGATGCTGTTGGTACTTACTATTTTCGGCCGAGTTGGGCGATGGCAGGCTGTACTGGTAACCATGGAAATGATCTATGGTTGTTGGGGGTGGCGTGATGCCGTCGTGGTGCTGATCCTGCAGCGGGCTGATTGGAGGCTGCTTCAGGTAGGCAGAGGCGATGGACGGTTCTGGGTATGAGGGCAAGATGGACGTGGCCGAAGCCCAATCTCTTTCGCACTGCTGCTGGTAGACGGGATAGGAGTCGTAGTTGGAGTAATGAGATGCGGACACCGAGGACACCTGGGTCGGCGGTGTATTATAGGTGCAATTGGCGTAGTCCTGCGATTGCAAGGCGGCCTGATGATCGTACACGGGGTTGACTTGGTTGATCATGGCTGCGTTGATGTTACTGGCAGCAGAGTAGAAGGCCGGCGGAAACTGTGGATTCCTCGCCTGGCACTTCCTTCTGAATCCTCTTGGGCGACGGCGGAACGAGCCTTCCTCGAACATGAACTCGCTGGCAGGATCGATGGTCCAGTAGTGTCCTTTGCCCGGCCTTCCCAGACCTTTGGGTAACTTTATAAAGCACTCGTTGAGGGAGAGGTTGTGACGCACCGAGTTCTTCCAACCCTGATAGGAGCCTCTGAAGAACGGGAATCTCTGCTGCAGGAAGGTGTAGATCTCGCTGAGGGTGAGCCGTTTCGACGGCGAATGCTGGATGGCCATCACGATGAGCGCGATGTAGGAATAGGGCGGCTTCTCCTGCCGTCGCATTCCCGATTTTTTCTCGGTGCTGGAGGGCTTCGAGTCGGCCGAATCTGGAGCGGTACTTTCGGGCGTCGCATTCTGCTGCTCTTCCAGCTGCTCCGTGGATAGAATCACACTGCTGTGGTGCTGGTGCTGATGCAGATGAAGATGATGCAGATGCTGCTGTATATTGATGCTCTGGTGAACGACAGGCTGCTGCTGCGATTGCGACGGCAACTGAGTGGACCCGCTGACCTCCGTCAACTGTTGCTGCTGCTGCTGCTGTTCCTTCATGTTCATGATGCGACTTTATTCGGTAAACATTTACACTTTCAAGATAGTCCAAACAGATTTCCACTGGTCGCCTGCCTATATTACTACAAACATTTGATACGCGAGTTGTATATGTATGTATGTACGTTATGTGCGGATGATGATGGTTCAATGTATACGTATATATACGCGCACACATACACACACACACAAATATTGTATACAAAAGTTTTATATACAAACAAGCGCGACGATTCGATACACAATTTACACTGTGCGTATATATGTGTATATATAACAACCCTCTCTCGCTCACAGAAATTGTTTGTAAATTTCTTAGTGATATTAAAATGGATATAGTTATATTATGGATGTGCGTGTGTGCGACTGTACGTTCGTAGTTGGTTGTTGGTTGCGCACGGATCAACTGTCCGTACCGAGCAAACAGTCAAAACTGAAGCCTCAGACGATGGTTCTGATTCTGGCTCGACTTGCTTAGGCCTGGCTGATGGGAAGAACCCTCCACGCACTGCTCACAACACACACGCCCGTCCGTTCGTTCGTTTGCTTTCGCTCTCGCTTCCAACTACGTCTACGTGTGCTGAACTTCTTTCTTGTGTTTCACTCTTCTCCGTCCTCTATCTTGCACGTGTGCATCTGTGTTAGAGTGCAATGGGACATATGCAAGATCAAATGAGGAAGAAAGAAATACACACACACGCACATAGAGACAAAGTGAATACACCTTCACCATATACTTTTTTTTTGTTGTTGCAAAACTTTTCTTCGCTTTTTTCGTGTGACGCAATCCTACAGCGATATAAGCATTGATGATTGTAAAAACCCAACATCATGATCTAGAACGATTACCTAATTACCGACAAGTCTTATCAACGACCTCAAATCTTTCTCTTCGCAGAATGGCAACATCCAGTCTCACACATAATCATTATTATTTCACACAGTTTCCATGAAAACTCATATTTTCATAAAATGATACATTTCTTTATCAAACAAGAATAAATCACTGACTTACTTAATTTAAGTTTACTTAATTGAAGTTGAATAATTAAACATATATAAATTGAATAATTCTTGATTGATGTGAATTTGTTAATATTGAATAATGAACATTTGAAGAGTAATGAAAATTACATCATTAAACCGAATTATCTTTACGTTTTTTTTTTATCTAAATTTATATAAAGAAAAATTAATTTCATTTAACAAAATTATCTTTACGTTTTTTTTTATCTAAATTTATATAAAGAAAAATTAATTTCATTTAACAAAATTATCTTTACGTTTTTTTTTATCTAAATTTATATAAAGAAAAATTAATTTCATT